AAGTATTTATTTTCACTACAGGCAGCCAGCAGGAGTGGGAGGGCAAAATATTATAAGAATAGTTTTGGAAAGTGGTTTGACATCCAAATCGATATGCCAGCAGATTAGTGATGCACAAAGTGACTGAAGGAGGACAGGGGAGTAGAGTTTTTGTTTTTGTATCTCAATGGTTTTTATTAATTTAGAACAATTAACACAGGAGCAACAAATCACGCCCACGCAGGGGCTATCAATTGCACATAGAAGAATTAGAAAATTAGAGAAATCAGTGCTCTAACACCAACAGGGCAAAAGATATGCCCACAGAGGGGCTATCAATGGCACTTAAATAACAAAACATAAATATAACACTGATAATAACTCAGACTAAAGGCAGCTATCCACTGCCACACCAAAAGCAAACAGAAAAAAAAGGGAGGAAAGGAAGGATAAGTACAAAAGAAAAAAGATAACCAAACCAAGAGCAGGGATCCAAGAACACCAAAGCCGAACAACATCACATCCCCAGGCTAGCCGGCGGGAGTGTGGGAAAGGTATATTGCAACCACGGCTTCCATATTTCCAGAATTTACATTGGGAGTCGTTGCAGATACTCGACATCTGTTTATTGCGCATCATGGTGGTCATACGGTCCCGCACCCCCTGAAGAGGGGACAAACGGGCGCTTCCATGCTTGAGCAATTGTTCTAGAGGCCGACAAAAACAAATAGGAAGCCAACTTCTGCTGATGAGCCAAGAGGCCTGGTATGGGACAATGAAGCAAAGCATATCGAGCATCCCGTCGTATAGAGAGATGGAACAAGGTGAAAAGGAGGCCAAACACACAAGACCAAAAACTAAGCAGCCTCGGGCATGACCACCAGATATGCAATACATCACCACGATGGCCACAACCCCGAAAGCATCGATCACTGCAGGCAGGGTTCGCCTGGTCCAAACGAGTCAGAACCCAATACCAACAAAACAATACTTTGTATGCCGCCTCCAGCATGGTTGTATTAAAAGAGCATTTAGCTACCAGGCCCTATTCCAGTCCTCTGGATCCTCAACCACTCCCAGGTCGCGCTCCCACTGAACGAAATATGAAAGAGAATTATGCGACGAGCGTCTATTCAAGGCTGCATAAAGAAGGGAGATAAGGCCTGGGGAGCCCGGCCACTGTTGGCAAAGCAGTTCAAAAGCAGATTTCTGGTACGGGAAAACAGATGTGCCCTGTAATGAGAGCAGCCAATGCCACAATTGAAGGTAACGGAAAAATTCCGCCGGAGGGACATCCCGTGACTCCCGAAGAGAATTCCAGGTAGGGAAGGACTGAGGGGTTAAAAAGTGTTGTACCTGTGGAAAACAATTGGCCACCCACCAAGAAAACGCCCTTGGTTGATCTAAACCCAGTGGGAAGAGGGGGTTGTTAGTAATTGGGAGCAAAGGCAAGAAAGGTGACATTAGCAAAATCGGACTCAGTGCCATGGGGCGTAGGGCAGGGGGAAGCCATTGAAGCGTCAAAATCGCAATAGGGGCACAATTAGGTAATTCCAGCAGGACCCAGAGAGGTATGTCTGAGGAAGCTTGCAACATAGATAGCGGGGCGATCTGGCTCGCCTGATAATATTTAGTAACATTGGGAACCCCAAGGCCACCCTGGAGTCTATGGACAAAAAGCGTAGTTCTGGAAACTCTGGGGCGTTTATCGACCCAGATAAAACGCATAATCTTCGCCTGAAGCAACCGAAGGAAACGAGGAGGAACCTGCACTGGGAGGGTGCGAAAATAGTATAACAATTTTGGCAAGATGGTCATTTTCACTGAATTAATTTGTCCTATCCATGACAGGTGCGGAAATTGCCAAGAATGCATAAGAGAAGACACAGAGCGAAGCAATGGATAATAATTTGCAGCAAACAGTGAGTCATAGGTGGGGGTCAAGCGAATGCCTAGGTATTCAAGAAAAGAAGAAGTCCATTTATAAGGGAAGTGGGACTGTAGGCACAAAACCAAATCTGAGGCCAAAAGTAATATTAGGCGCGACAGTCTTATCCAAATTGATGCAGAGACCTGAAATCAAAGAGAAGCGCTCCAGAACCTGTTGCAAATTTGGAAGCGTCATCAGGGGATTAGTGAGAGTCAAGAGGACATCGTCTGCAAAAGGATTCAACTTGAACTCCTGTCCCGCGTATGGAACCCCCGATACATTACAATCAGTCCGGAGCGCCAGAGTTTTTGTTTTTAAGGAGGAATGGGTGGTCACCTGTTTCAAAAGCTAAAAAAAAGGTCTAATAGTAAGAGTACTGAGTAGTGTGAATAGTGGTAATTTTTTTTAGCAGATAGTCAGACATTACAGAATTTTAGAAGAGCCATTTCCATTTGGGGGGGGGGGGGGGCAGACTGTAAGGGCTCAAAAAAGGTTGTTTTCAGTGATATAGCAACTCAGATGGTTGTAGATTAGGCATTCTGGGAGTTTGGCGGTAAATGAGAGAAAGGAGATTGGTTATTCAGACTGGTGCGGATGAGCAAGGGCTTTTTATGTTTGACCAGAGAATTGTTTTCAGAGAGGGGAGGGAAATATGCCAGAAGATATGGAAAGATTGAAGAATAATAGAGCATAGAATAGAGAAAGAAGGTGACCACAGTAACTGTGAGCGCATGGGATCCTTGTAGCAGGTGGTAAGGTGGGTGTCAGAAGGGTTCTGGGCGTGGGGATGAAAGTTAAGCTGCAGAGGACCAGGACTGGACTAAATATCTCCTGAGTGTACGTGCCCTAGTGTTCTGGAGGTTATTTGGCATGTGGGTTTAGAATACATAGGAGGTGATAAGTGTAGTAATATGGAGAGGGCATTAGTGAAGGTGATATACACTCATGGCCACTTTATTAGGTACACCTTGCTAGTACCGGGTTGGACCCATTTTTGCCTTCAGAACTGCTTTAATTCTTCATGGCATAGATTTAACAAGGTGTTGGGAACATTCCTCAGAGATTTTGGTCCATATTGATATGATAGTATCACATAGTTGCTGCAGATTTGTCGGCTGCACATCCATGATGCGAAATCTCCCATTCCACCACAACCCAAAGGTGCTCTGTTGGATTGAGGTCTGGTTACTGTGGACGCCATTTGAGTACAATGAACTCATTGTAATGTTCAAGAAACCAGTTTGAGATGATTTGAGCTTCATGACATGGTGCATTATACTGCTGGAAGTAGCCATCAGAAGATGGGTACACTGTAGTCATAAAGGGATGGACATGGTAAGCAACAAGGTAGACCGTGGCGTAATGATGCTGAATTGGTACTAAGCGGCTTGAAGTGTGACAAGAAAATACCCCCACACCATTACACCACCACCAGCCTGAACTGTTGATACAAGGTAGGATGGATCCATGCTTTCATGTTGTTTATGCCAAATTCTGATCCTACCATCTGAATTTTGCAGCTGAAATCAAGACTCACCAGACCAGGCAGCATTTTTCAAATCTTCTAATGTCCATTTTTAGTGAGCCTGTGTGAATTGTAGCCTCCCTTTCCTGTTCTTAGCTGACTGGAGTGGCACTGAGTGAGGTCTTCTGCTGCTGTAGCCCATCTGCTTCAAGGTTCAATGTGTTATGCATTTAGAGATGGTATTCTACATACCTTGGTTGTAACGAGTAGTTATTTGAGTTACTGTTGCCTTTCTATCATCTCGAACCAGTCTGTCCATTATCCTCTGACCTTAGACTTCAACAAAGCATTTTCGTCCACACAGCTGCTGCTCACTGGATATTTTTTCTTTTTCAGGCCATTCTTTGTAATCCCTAGAGATGGTTAAGTGTGAAAATCCCAGTAGATCAGCAGTTTTTGAAATGACCAGCCCGTCTGGCATCAACAACCATGCCATGTTAAAAGTCACTTAAATCCCCTTTCTTCCCCATTCTGATGCTCAGTTTGAACTTCAGCAAGCCGTTTTCACCACGGCTAGATGCCTAAATGCATTGAATTGTTGCCATGTGATTGGCTGATTAGCAATTTGTGTTACCAAGCAATTGAACAGGTGCACCTAATAAAGAAGCAGGTGAGTGTATACTGTATATATATATATATATATATATAAAATTATTGATATATAATTACTTAGTGAACCTGGGGTCTAGTGCTGTATTCATCCAGTTCTATCCCCTTCCCTAATCAGGCTATGGTGTTCCCAACACCATGGTGAATCTATGCCATGAAGGCAAAAGGGGGTCCAGCCCGATACTAGCAAGGTGTACCTAATAAAGTGGCCAAATGAGTGTATATTCAAACAAAGGTTTGAGCTTTTAGGATAGAAAATAATAGAAAGTAAGTTAAGGTTCATATTTAACTAACTTTATTTTATTCGGATAAAGTGGGAAGAATTGAAAGCCCTCTCAGGTTTTTACTCCTGTCTGGGAATCCACTAGAGAGATTTTCCCTTACTTAACCACTTGCCTACAGGGCACTTATACCCCCTTCCTGCCCAGGCCAATTTTCAGCTTTCAGTGCTGTTGCACTTTGAATAACAATTGCGCGGTCATGCAACACTGTGCCCATATGAAATTTTTATCATTTTTTTGTGACAGATAGAGCTTTATTTTGGTGAAATTTAATCAACTCTGGGTTTTTGTTTTGTCTTAAACAAACCAAAAACCACTGAAAATGTAAAAAAAAAACAAATGTTTTTTCTTAGTTTTTGTTATAAAACTTTGTAAATAAGTGATTTTTCTCCTTCACTGGTGTGCGCTAATGAGGCTGCAGTGATGGGCACTGATAGGCTGCACTGATGGACATTGATAGGTGGCACTGATGGGCACTGATTAGAAGGCACTGGTAGGTGGCACTGATGGGCATTGACAGGCATCACTGATGGGCACTGAAAGGCAGCACTGATATATGGCACTGATAGGCGGTACTGATAGGCAGCACTGATAGGCGGCACTGGCTGGCACTGATAGGCAGCACTGACTGGCACTGTTAGGTGGCACTGGCTGGCACTGTTAGGCGGCACTGCCTGGCACTGATAGGTGGCATTGACGGGCACTAATAGGCGGCACTGATGTGCACTGATAGGCACCACTGACTGGCACTGATAGGTGGCACTGATTGGCAGCACTGATAGGTGGCACTGGTTGGCATTGGTATGTGGCACTGACTGGCACTGATGGGTGACACTCAAAGGCAGCTCAGATGGGCACTGATATGTGGCATTGATGTGCACTGATAGGCACTGATATGTGTCATTGATGGGCACTGGCACGTGGCACTGAGGAGCACTGACAGCTGGCACTGATGGACACTGACAGGTGGCACTGCTGGGGCTACACTGATCATCAGGGCACACTGATCATCAGTGCCCTGATGATCAATGTACATGTCCCCTCCGCGGAATGCCGACTACCGGCTCTCCTCTCGAGCTGTCAGCGTGACAGCTCCAGAGGAGAGAAATGACGAGAACCGGCATTTCCCTGTTTACATGTGATCAGCTGTGATTGGACACAGCTGATCACATGACCGAGCCGACATCTTCGCCTCTTTCCGTGGATCGGTGATCTGCTGTGTCCGAGGGACACAGCGGACCGCCGATCGCCGCACTGCACATTCGGGGAGCCGTGCATGCGCGGTAAAAATGGGAGGACGTCATATGACGTCCTCCCAGAACGAGAGAACCACCTTGCATCCGTCATATTACTATATGGCGGGCAGGAGGTGGTTAAAGGTCCAGTGACAATGGTTTCACCAGACTGGAAATCTGTAAGAACAGCATAGAAATATAAAAATGCTTCTATTTAATTAAAGAGTAACTCCACTTTTGTTGAGAGTAAAACAATCTCCTGTGAGTGATCAATGTACATTGCAAGGATTCTAAAAGCTGTATGCTCAACTGTTACAGTATGTCCTTGGAATGATTCCTGTATGGGAGTGTTTGTGTTTAAAATATAATCAGCTGATGCACTTGTGGTGTTCTAATAAGGAAAGCTGTAGTGGCTGCATCCCTTTAGAAGTAGTTAACCCTTTGATAGTATCTCACCAAAAACCTACTTTCTGTTACAGAGGATGCCTAAAATTTGGCTTGTATCTTAGTGCAGACTTCTAGGAAATCAGTGTGCCAATCCCACAAGCAGGAAATTGCATTTCTTAGGGTGTTTTGTACACCAGCTATGTACAGAACGCCTCCAGGTTGCAATATTGCATTCAATTTTACAGAAAATAACAGCACTGCAGATTGAAAAGGAAATGTAATATTTTATAAAAGTAAATTACAACATGGCTTGTGTAGCATTTATATATGCTATATTATTTTTTATGTGCTAAATTTTTTCCAGGACAGTGGAGTTAACCTTTAAATAAAGAAAGGCTAGACCCATTGTGAACGTTTTATTTCTATCGGTGAATAAAAAAAAAATAATTGGAAGAAAACAACTAGCTTGCTTTTATCTTCCAGCTGAAATCTAATTGCCTACTATAAACAACACCCCCACTTTTTTTATTTTGCAGTTTTAATACATAAGATATAATGGTAAAATACAGAATAACAGGAAAATGTGGGGGTTAATAATTCAGACATACTGCAAATAGTAAATGTAGCAATGTTAAAAGGTTGAAGCAATGTGTGCAAGTCCAAAGTAATTTGTAAACCTGAAACTCTAGTGGTGTTTAATGAAAACCCAGTGTGGAATAATTTATTTTCATAACACTCGACACAGAGGTCATAATTTAAATGACCTGGACTGAATTTTCAATAGGCTGAACAACATACTACACCACTGGGAAAGAACATTACATACGAGTTATTACTTATTCACAGAATGTTCTCAATACTTAGTACAATTTTCCTGCATATAATATTTAGGGAATGTTTCAATGATACATTGTAGAACAGAAAAAACTGACACATTTTGTAACAATTTGCACAACAAAATCCACTAAAACTTGGTTTCATTGACTAACCACTATTTGTATTTCCCCCTGAATTCAAAGGAATTAATTCATCCAACTAAACTCATCCAAATTCTGAACACACCATGGTACACTAGCATATATTTTGTACCTGTGAACCTTTTTGTGACCAGGGGTAATTGATGCCTGGACTTCCAGGCCTAATTTAGAAGCATTAGAGTGTGTCTGTTAACTTGAAAAAAACACTATAACTAATTTACCTAACTAAATAATTTTAACATTTTTATGAACATATAAGCCCTTGCTGCAGGTTTGGTTTTTCGTCCCTTGCAGTGCTTTGGTAGCTCAATCAACATAAGTGGGCCACCTCTGCGTAAATAATGGTAGAGCACGATATACAGCACATAAAGGTGCATGCATTCACACACCACAATGGTCCACAAAGGTCTGAAGCATGACTACAACTAACATTAAGTATGTTAAGGCATAAAGTATATCTGTCACAGGCAACATTAATACCAGCCCCTGAGAATGTCTTCTATGATGAAAGGCATCAGCCTTAGCCTTGTGTTGATGTCATCATGCCCGCTAGGAGCTCTCATGAGTACCATTCTTTTATGTAAATAAAGTGATCTAGCGGTTTTACATGATGGAGTTTCTGTGTCTATTTTATTCCTGACTGTGGTGTGATATTCAGCAGAGCTGTCATATCCAAACCCTGCTGGCTACCCCAGTGGTTCATGGTCATTATACCATCATATTTTATCCTATATAGATATGATAAGATTTTACTTTACTTTAGAGAGTTTGGCTCTTGTTTCCATTCTAATAGGGACAGAGACATATGAAAAAAAATTCCAAAGCAAAATAGCATAAGGGAATGACTATGAACGGAAATGATTCTACAACAATTTTCCATGCACTGATTTCTACATTTAATTTGAACCAAATATGCATAATCTGCATATAATAATAACAATTGTCCTAATAAAAGTAGTCAGTAAAAAAAAATAATTTCTACCTTTTCATTATTGGTATCAGCACTTTTGAATCATCACTGCTACTGACGTTAAAAGTTATATTACTCGAATTGCTGAAGTCATGTATTAGTGATGGGGGATGACTATATGTAATATACTTCAGTCAACCCCTGTTCAACAGTCAAAGGGATTGCTTTAATAAAACTGTAGAGTGCAAAATCTGGTGCCGCTCTGCAAATAAATCAGCTTCCTGTTTATTTTGTCAAAATTTAAATGAACAAGATGACATTTGAAGCTGATTGGCTACCAAGCACAGCTGCAACATATTTTTCACTCCCCAGTTTTAGTAAATCAACCCCCAAGTGTTTTATAACAGCTGTAGGACTAACATGAAGGGGACCACATTGGCAAGGCTGGATGGTTTAATATACAGTATATTCCAATATGTAGCACAACGTATTCCTGTTTTTATATAATATTATATAATATTAGGTATCTGTTAGCTAATTATATAGTTCTTCTTATTAGAAAGATTTTAGAAAATTATAATTCTAATGTGCATTAATATGCATTGGGATTGTTCTCATTGGCTCAATGACACCTTACACACTAAATGAATCTGCAGTACCAGCTATTGTATTCTGACAGCTGTAACCCACAGCAGTCAGAATATCCATACAGTGCCTGCATATGATTGGATGCAGGCACAGTTCAGCCAAGAATGTTTTGCCTAGTTTGTTTGATAGTTAAAAAGATTGAAAAATCGGGTTTTGTTGGAGTGGTACTGACAAGGCCACTTATGGCCAATTCATCAGGAATGAGCTGAAATTTGATAGGTATGGCCAGCTTCAACATTAATGCTCTTCCATCCATTAGCTGGGCATGTTTTTTGCAGTTGAATGAAATGTAAGGAGATCATGGGGTGCCTTAGAAAGAAGCTGCTGTACTCCAACATTTAACACAACCAGTTCAGGAGTGTGGGCAAGCCACCTCACCGTGCTGCTGTAGTGAACCTCTTAAGAGGTTCTTCTAAATATAACCTTAGTTTCAATTCTGCCCAGTATATCCAATAGCTCCATGTTTTTGGAAATGAAAAAAAAATTTAAAAACACTCAACTGTAAGTGAGCTAATTTTCCAAGGATGAGAGCTGCTCTCCAAGACTTAGACTGGGAAAGAATATTGGCATTGATGAACACAACACAGAAATAGGAGTGTTTTCAAAAAGACTGTATGTGAACACACTGCAAAATATATTCCCATGGGCAACAAGTTTCAAAGGCTAAAAATAAAACCTATGTGGCTTACGGCCAAAGTTAAAAAAAAAAATAAAAAATTCACATCAGAAAAAGGGTGCACAGCAGCTATAACCATACACCTGGTATAACTACTTGCTAGACAGGATGTTTTAATATGTATGTCGGTCAGCAAGTGGTTAAAGTGAAACTGTTGATTTGTTCATGATTTTATAGTTATTTATTAAGGCTTACATCAGCTACGTCACAGGAAGAAACTCACCTAAAGGTTGATGGTCATTCACAGTGCAATAAATACATTTTTAACAGCACTGTCTTTCTAAGCTGTATACAGCGTGAGAAGTGTTTATAAATCACTTGAATTCCTCAAATATACAGGAATTTACACATATGCATTTTAACTGTCCTAATTCTGTAGGTCTGGAGTTCAGTTTTCCTTTAAGAAAAAAGGCTGAGTATATACCCATATGGAAGAAAAATATATTTGAAATATATTTAAAAAATATTCTTCCCAAATATATTGACATATATTTGAAATGCTACAATTTTGGCCATATTCAATATATTTCAAAATATATTTATATATATATATATATATATATATATATATATACTGCATGTTGAAATGCGTTTTTTATATATTACAAAATATATGAAAACTATTTTAGAAAATATCTATTTTTTTAAATATATTCTTCAGATTTCTTTTAACATATAAAAAAAGTAATATTAACATATATTTTTACATATATTTGTAACTGCATTCCAAAAATGTAGATTTGTATTTTTAAAGACATACAGTATATTTGAAATGTATTTTTAAAAATAGTTTTCATATATTTTGTAATAAAAACGCATTTCAACATGCAGTATATATATATATATATATATATATATATATATATAATATGGCCAAAATTGTAGCATTTGTAGCAAAATATATGTCAATATATTTGGGAAGAATATATTTTTTAAAATATATTTCAAATATATTTTTCTTCCATGTGGGTTTAAAACATAGAAATCTAATATTTGATATATATAAGAAATGCTGTGACTGCTATAAATGATGCAGCAAGAGGAGGCAGAGCTAGTTTTTGGTGCCAATCACTACACTCATGTTCCCCAATAGGTTATATGCTACCTATTGTTTCTATTCAGTATTCTGTATTGCCAGGTGCAGGCCTTGGCTGGTGCAATTGTACTATCTTCTGGGAACTCTCTTACTACCAACTTTTTTGGGAGTGCATATGGTTTGTTTAAAAAAAACAGGAGAAGGGCAGCTCTAAGTGCAATATGAAATCCACATACTTTTATTAAATATAAGTGGCAACTCACATGTAAAACAGTAAAAACTTTGCTCATCACATGAACACCACAATGTTATGCCCTGT